GGAGTCATAGTTGGTGAATCACGAACTGTATCTTTGCAAAGAAGGAACGCGATTTGTTCGTTTTGGAATTTAAGATAATCAGACAGTAGTTTATTGGCTCCGTAAGCGGCGGTAGGATATATCTACCCAATCAACTTGTGTCTTATTTCTTAGTATTGATTCTGTATCTTGCCGTCTCGATTTTTCTGTAGGCACTGTGAGAACAGTTGCTATGGCGATTGATCGATCGCATAACTAAAGATGTTGGAAAGGTATCTGATCACCTCTCGTGCCAACTAGCTATGGTCTTGAGCAGTGCTGACATCCCATAACGACTAGTTTATTGGTAAGAAGCAGCATTACCGTGTTGTGATAATCGTTTTCATGAAGAAGACCGCAGTTTTCGTTTAAAAGCAGAGATCAGCTGTGCTACACAAGGCCCATGGTGAAGTTTAAGGAAAATCGATCTTCCAGCAACCGTGCTCTTCTATCGTAAAATTCTCATTAACGGAAACAGGATAATCACCGGTCATTAAATAAGGCAAGAGTGCAAGGGAGTTTATCATAATCAATAGTCATGAGTATGTATTAATCTGCTTGGCACTGATTGATTCAAATGCTTATGAATGGACTGATCTCTGTCTTCTGCTTCTGACGTTAAAACAGTTTTGGCGATGCTCTCTCGCCACTTTTCATTGGCCTTCTCCGGCGTTTATTCATTTTCGATCCAAGCAAGAAATCATGTGATTTATGGACTACTGTGGTCACTTATCTGTAGTATGTGGAATAAATTCAGATTTTCCTCCTTACTCTAGAAATTGCGCAATCGATTCCCCTTTGCGTCCTTAATCACTTGTTCATGCGCCAATAAATTTTTTATGTTCTTTAACGTAATATTCTTTTTCACTATGGCATTCTGAACCAAAGTTTCGTGCATCATGTATCATTCTCAAAATTTGTAAGATATCCTCATCGTCCTATAATGGTAGAAGAAGTTGAATAAGTCAATCAACCAATCAGTCAGTCAGTAAGTCAGAGAGACTGTTTTTAATGTTAGTATAATCAGCTTTTTGATTTTACTCTATCCTGTAATTTTCTAAAGCAACGGTCCGCTTAAGACTAAAGTAAAAGGAAGGCGATTACGGTCGTCTTGAAAGATATGCAACAGTTCTTCTGTTATTTTATTGAAGATGGACCAGGCATGATCCAAAACATTGAATGAATAAAATTTTTATGAGTAAGACACTTCTGCGTACTTTACCCTTATGACACCGAAAACGACACTTTGCTGTCATAAAATTTTCTTGGAAGAGTTCGTGCATGATGATAATTTCATTTTATTTGTTATGAAGATTTTTGGATAAAAGCCTTTAATCCCTTTTTGCCTAGTAAAAGTAAAAAACTGGACTGGATTGAAACACCCCTGGATCTTCTAAAGATACCGGCTAAAACACCCTTACGATGTTTTACAACTTTACGACATGTCTTGTTGATGAATTTCAATGGACATGGTGGCACAATTCCTAAGATGTCGTCTTCGAATCGTGGAGAGACCGGGTTCAATTCCGGAGCTGAATAATTTTTGTCTTAGCCGCGAATTCTCTCAAGCAAGGAATTTTGATATTTACCACACGTTTCTTCAGATCGGGGTTGCTTAGCGGGTAGAGCGTAGGACTCTTAAGCCGGAAGTACTCGGTTCGAGCCTCGGTTTCCAAAAAATCTCGATAAATGGGTACCACTAAATGGGTAGAAATGAAAAGGTCGCATATTATGCTTGCTGTCGGTGGTTGCTATCGTCTCTGGCTTTGAAATATGGCACACCTCGATGATGGCAGGGAAATTGAGATCGGCGACCCACCATCAGCTTCACGAAAAGAAGGACACCACCAGAAATGGCAGAAAGTTTCCTTTCTTTTCTTCTCTGATGTCTCTCAATACCGTACCTGTGCTGTTTCCATACCCCTCATTAACTTTAACTTTCTTCGCAGTTGATCATCAGGACATGATCGCTCATTTTTACCCCGTTAATAAGTCTCTTTTGGTTTACTAGTCCAGATTTATGTTTTT